GATCTCTGTGATCTTGGTCATTTATTTCTCAAATTTCAATGCACGGTTGAATGAAATCTTGCTAAATTTTTGCCCGGGGCAAAAGCAGAGTGAGGCCTTCAAAAGTCATTTTAATTGCTTTCAGCCCATCCAATTCTTTGTCATCAAATCTTTTCTTCAAAAAATTCGATATTTTAAACAAAAACCTCGTTACGGATGGCAAATAGTCTCTTCTCTCACTTATGTACAAAATGTGCTTGTCTCTCCTTATTCTCTTTTCGCGTAGTTTGAAAGCATTATATTTTCCCCCATCTTGTTAGTAACGCAGAAACCATGCACCAGCCTATAGGGGGAATGGCTGGAGCCGAGCTAGGGAGCCTGCCCTAGATTTTTTACGGCCACACCCTTTGAAACACCGGAAAACATTTGCTTCTTTCTGTCCTTATTCTTAAACATAACGATTCAGAGAGGATTTTAATCTCAAAACCATTTTCTAACCTATTATTGGAAAAAAGTTGGGGAGGACTATAGTCCTTGTTATGAAACATTCATAGTTGAATGTTCCTCCCAGCTACCACCGAGAGGCTTATTATCGTTCAACTGCTTTAGCCTTGAGAAAATTTTTTCCAATGCTTCTCCAATTTAAAACACCTAAGCTGAATTGTTTTGCAACTTTTTCTGCAATCTACTGAAATTTACACAAATCCCAAAATACATTACGGGAAGGAAATCATAATCTCGGTCTCGGTCTTTAGGCTCAGTGTTTTTTTAAGAAAGTCGTAAAAGCAAACTAACTTGACATGATGTCTTGAGATGAAGATGATACCGAATCCATCTTTCTTCAAAACTGTACGACAAAATCATAAAGCGTAATGTACAGTAAATCCCCGCATATAAGAACCTACAAAAATAAGAACCTAGAGACTGTTTTTCCTAAATTATGCACTTTGTAATTAAGAACCTATTTGAGTGTGATGAAATATAATAGGTTCTTATTCCAAGGGCAAACAAATAGAGTTTTCAATGGTCCTTATTTACTCCCAGATTTTTAAAGAGGAGGTAAAACCACAATCGGTATCAATATTTTCAGTTGTGCATTTTCAGCATTTATACACTTTAGCGAAAGAGAACTTTAAAAACACTTTGACTTTTTAACATAATTATATATAGCAAAATCCAGAATGTTCAAAAATTGAATAAAAGCATTAGAATTCATAATTTTCAATTCCTGAGGACGTATGAGATCATCTCCAGATCCATCCACTGTCATAAGGCAGCCAGTGCGCTCAAATGTCTTCCTGTAAATATCTTTGTAATGTTGCATTAATAACATTGCCAAAAGGAAAAAACAAATTTCAAATAAGGGATCCTTCGAATAAGAACCTTCATACCCTGAAATTAATCCAAGTACCTTCCCAATTAGAACCTACATCAGCCTGAACCTCAAAAAAATAGGTTCTTATATGCGGGGATTTACTGTACTGAAGCTTCGAATTTTACAGTTTGTTAATTCTTTTTTACTGTCCATTGCTCATTTCTTATAGCAATTTACTTAGAAAAATGAGTGCAATACATAAGGCTGGGATTGGGCTTTCACCTGGCATTGAAAAAGATGTTCCTAATTCTATCTTAGGCGTTTCGATTTGTATTTTATGCTGCACTGTTTACTATAAAAAAGGCACTGTTTACAAATCCACACTATCTACAATTGCGGTTCCACAATCTCAATTTGCAACTCCACAAAGTGAGTCAGATCCACGCTTATTTTAGGCCCTGACCTCTTGAATATATCTAAAAAATATGTAAGATAGGAATCGTACAAGTCGTCATAAATCTCGACAGATCTTTGCACGTTCAAGACCTACAGTTCGTTGTAGTTCCTAAAGTTCCTAATTCCTGGACCTCTATTCATCAAAATGCGGTACCAAATCCTCCATAATAGTTCCAAACTTTTAACTGCATATTAATGCTATGAAAATAGCATAGACGCAGAAAAACAAACAAATTCCGAGTTTTGCTTTTTAGTATAGCTAAAAACAAGGCCAAAAGACAAAGAGGGCAAGAAAAAATTAATTCGCGTGAAAGTACAATGTCAATCAAGAAGTACCTTTGCAAAGAGAGACGCATAAGAACACTGTAAATTCTGTCCAGCTTACTTATTCTTAAGAATTTTTTGTTTTGAGCATTAATATATTCTTAAATGATTCATATATTTTCAAATCCGAAATGGTTTCAGGAGAACATCTCTCACACTCGAATAAAAAACACGTTTTCTGGAAAGAAAAGGAGTCAATATTGCGATTCTCTGTTCTAAAAATTGTGAGAAAAGTAGCTGCCGAAACATATGACGGAAATATATGATTTGAGGCTGAGCAATATTCTTATGATATTCTTAAAACTGGATTATTCTGAATATTCCTACAAACACTATCCTTATAAAAAATGAATTATAAACAGAGACAGCAAAGTTGGAAGCTACTAAATAAAACACCTGATGGATGCATAGCACATATAATCCAAGTTTTGACTACACAATAAAATGCAACTGGCGTCCTAATTTTCGATTATTTCCAGTTATAAAAATATTCAAAACTTTAGCAGTTTAAGTTTTTTAATGTTTTCGGTCCTCTACATGTATATCCCGTGTAAAGTGGCTCCTTATACACAAAAAATGTTATCCAGCCAATCATAATAAAATCGTGAAAAGTACTAAAGAATCTGTATATACCTTATATTGAACCTGAAAAAGTCTTAGTCCATAGAGAATATCGATTATTGTTTTTAAGTCGTTTGTCCCCCAACTGCCATCAATTGCTTTGTGGTGCCATGACCCACTGCACACTTTATATTCTTTTGATCTGCGTGCTGAAACCCCCTCAACCCCCCAATCGACATAACAGATTTACGGCCCTACTGGATTGTCAGTGTATAGAGTGAACCCCCAGAGTTCAACCTTCTGTGCTTTGTTCTTGTAAAACATTTGGCGTTTATTTTTATACAATACAAAGTACAAACAATGGAAAATTGAAAAGCACTTTCCCAGAGCATCCCTCTCATTTTCAACAAAGGCTGTGGCGTTGTGTCGCCATGCTTCAACCCACAAAGATTTGTTTCAGTTTTCCATGCTTTTGGGTTCATTCTTCTTTGCACACGTCCAGCTTTGTCTTCTTCCACTGTTGTGACTTCTCTTCCCGCTTTATTGGTGTAAGATAATGACAAAATAATCAGGCTATTAAAGCGTGGGTCCAGACCGGTTGCACAGGTTTCAGAAAACCAGTCAAATTCTCAGAATTTTGTTTCTCTGTTAATCTTGAAATTTCTATTTAAAATTTCAATTGCAACATTGCTGCTTTTGTCCTTGGCTGACTAATGGTCCTCTGTTTACATACACTCTTTTTTATAAGAAATACACTCTTTTTTATAAGAACCAGTAAATTTAAGTTAAGGATGATTGTTCTTAATTTTTTTGAAATTATGAGGCTGGATTGTTCTTAATTTGTTCTTAAATTAACAGGGTGTAAGCAGTGTGATTGTTAGCCTTTCCGCTCAAGGAAAGTGTTCCGGCCTCGTCTGCCAACAAAGTGAGTGACACAGCCTTAATTTGCTGGCAAATTTGAATATTCCTCGAAAAAGCACCCACACATCGCTAAAAATTCTCATTCTTCAGATAAAAAGTTGTTCAAAGTTGCATTTTGCAGAAGCTCAGCCTCAGCTTGTTCTCAATTTGTTCTTAATTAACTTTTGACCAATTTTGAGGCACGTGTTCTTATAAAATTGTTCTTATAAAAAAATGTACTGAATTGAACTCCCACAAAATTCTTAACGACAGCTCTCCCTTATTGCAAAGATTCCAAAAAAGTTTCCTATTCATATTTTATCCAAAAGTAACCGAGGAATTCAAAATCAAGGAAATCAGTGGCCACTCGAAGTTACAGTTTGGAGTATGCTATCTATGCTCCAATATTGAAACCGGTTGCTATTGTTTTCTGAAAACCTGTGAAAACCGGTGCCCGTATGTTGTTTCCCTTAGGCGAAAAACCTGTGGCTAAAAAAGCATACTCAATATCGATAGCGTCGCAACCTGACACACAATCAAATGTAGATGCAAATCAGAATCTGAGGTCTTGTTCTGAGGGTCTACACTTTCTTTTCCGGAAAAATTCTTGGAAATTAAAATCGACTTGATTATAAGTTCCATGAATTTTTGACATTTTAAATATAGGGAGATAAATTACAATTTACTAGCCTCGTGAACTACCAGTGCACATTCTGTTAATGCTACTCATGGAGCAGCACTGTGTGTTGATGGTACATAAATATTCTCTGATCAGGGCAATCTTTATCTTCACATTTTGCAAAAATGGATCATAGAATTGGAGTCTTCATGTTGAAATTAGTCTGAGCTGAAAATTTCAAGTTGTTTGGGACGTCAGACAGCGAATAAACCTATTTTCAAGATTTAACTTTTCCTATACATTTCAATGAAATTTGTTGCTGTAGTGAAATTTTTTCACTGCAGCAGCAAATTCCGGTCAAATCTAAAAAAGAAATATCTAAATATTCAAAACAAAGTAACTCGCGATCGAACGGTCCAAACAACATGATTTTTCAATATATACTAATTAAAAGATGAAGATTTTAATTCTGAAGTCAATTTTTGAGAAAGATCCATAAATGGCGAGATAAAAAATCAATGACGTCAACCCGGAACGGAGAACTAAAAGATGCACTGGTAGTGAAAAATTCAGAGATGTAAGGGAAGAAAGGCTAGATCCGCGCCTGCTATTTGTTGGGAAAATAAAATGCATCTACATAGTATTACTGTATTGCATCTACAGAGTATTACTAAATAACGCCTCGTACCCTCCGCCGCTAACAATACGCGTTTTCCGACCTGTCGCAAAAACCTCTTTTTGGTTTTGCTTGGAAGAAATTTTCCTAGACGGTCACATGACAAATTTTGGACTTTATGCCCTCTGATTGGCCAAAATTTCTCTGATTGACAGAAGGCCGCTGTGTGTTGGTTTCAAAGGTGTGTCCCTGTGCATCACAATTTTACTGATCAACGATCAAAACATTGAGATCAGCGTGCTGTACCACTAGGTTGGTAAAATGGATGTGAAAGCCGAGGAAGTTAGAAAACAGAACCTCACAAATATGAAAATAAAACGGATCTCTGACTCGCAAGCTCGGCACCATTCTGTTCGCCGGCCTGATGATGTTGTACGGGATGTTCGTGGCTTGAAGCTTCGCCAGCGCGTGTCCTTGGTTCTCGGGGATGATATTTTGCGCAAAGAGTTGGAGGACATCGTTGAGAGCACCACAACAAACGGTCCAAAGTTGCGAAACGGCATCCGTACATATCAAGATTTTCTCATACCAACTATGTATCCTGGCGGTTACAACACTGGTGGGTCGATGCTTGGAACAGTAACCCCGATTAATGACATAAGAGGCATGGACACCTTGTCAATGAGCAAAGCTGAAAGAGTATTGCGTACGAAACTGGCTGCAGTATACCGTTTAGTAGACTTATTTGGTTGGAGCCAAGTGATTTACAATCATATCTCAGTAAGTCTTTGTTTTATTTTCACCAAGTGTATTTCCTAATCCAATAATTATAGTGTGTAATGACAATGGGAACTTAAATCTCAAACTAAAAAACCTGCAGAATCTGAAGGCCCCCAATTGGCATTGCATTGAATAAATTACTTAATTAATAGGCCTTCATGCCAGTGTTCCCCTCCTTGAAACTGATAGCAATTATTTTTATTGATTTGTCTTGTTCATCTGTGTTATCATTTTGTTCCTGTGATGGGTATCTATCATTGAGAAGTTTTGTATTTTGTGGTAGTGTAAACCACGGATTACTACTAAACACAGGTCATTCAGACGCAATCAATGTCTAATAGCAGTGATTACTGTTATTCGGTATCTCAACAAACTTAGTTCTTTGGAAACAAACCAAGTTTAGGGGTTTTCTCTTCAATATGCACCTCAAAAGTGAATTGCAAATGTAACCATCCCAAAAAATTTCTGATATTTCTAAGAAGCAGTAAACTCATCGGCAACACCCTAAACTGCATCATAATGTTACCTTTTTTGATTCTGGAAAACAGCTATTTCACCATAATTTGTAGTCACCGTTTCAATTGACTATTTAGGATTAGTTTTAATGCTTCTAGAATCTGTTTGATACCTGCTGTAAGTACACAATGGTGATGTTTCAAAAATATGAATATGTGTTCATATTTAGAATTCAGTAAATTTCTGCATAAAAATGAAAGCTCTTCTCATACACAACCAGCAGGTATTTTGCATATTGCTGGCCAATAACAATATTTGTACTTAAAGTGTTTGTACGCACTTATAGTTACAACTGAATTGCTCACACATTAACAATCCATCTCATCATTTTTTTTATTCATTACAAGCCTTTCTTTCTAGTTGTCTAGTATCAAAACATGCAGCTTGATATCAATTACAGTATATTTTATTACCATAAATTGTCACTAAGAAGCTTCATGGTCAAATAAGAATGCTGCTTATTTTATAGTAGGGTGTGTCTGCTCACTTTATCATTTAATACAGAGGAAAAAAACTTGCATGAGGCTTCAATACAGCTGGAAATAAGTTATGGTTCTTATTGAATGTTTTCACCACAAAAAATGAATCACAATATTGAATTATCTCAAAATATTAATGTCTCTTAGGTTTTCAATAAAAAAACCTTTTCTGAACAAGAGTCCTGAGTTTGAATAATTTCTTTATGAAATCAGTGGGTGTTTTGTCTGAACTTAATACTATTTTAGTAATTTTAAATGTTTGTTATTTCAGGTTAGAGTTTCAGAAGAAAAGAACCACTTCCTTATAAACCCATTTGGTCTTCTCTACAGTGAGATAACCTCATCATCTTTAGTCAAGATTGATGGAGAAGCAAACATAGTTGATTCAGGAAGTACTAGTTTTGGCATATCAAAAGCTGGCTTTGTTCTCCATTCTGCAATTCATCTTGCTAGAAAAGATGCCAAATGTATAATTCATGTCCACCATGAAGCTGTTGAAGCTGTGAGTATTTTCTTTTGTATGTTTGATAGTATTTGCACATAATAGCACTTTCAATTAATATATTTACAATATTTCTGGAGGATGCTAGAATCGTTTTTATGTAGATAAAGTGGGGCCTTGAGTCATCATTAAAAAATGTGATTTTTTTAAAAAAAATGATGAAGATCTTTAGAACTCAAATTACTATACCAAACTTCAGTTTCAGGTATCCATTGTATTTTTGATGGTGACCTGAAAAGCTCACCGATAAAGGCATTAAAAAGAAACTTGAATTGCAACTTAGAGCTAAAGCATAATCATAACAGGATCATTAAATACTATTTTCAAGGTTTGATCAACTTCTAGGGCCACAGGTCCTTGGCACCCCAAAAGGGCTCACAAAGAATTCAGGCAAACATGTTTTGTAGTAATCTATGGAGTAAAAATCTTGTGATCTATGGAGTAGAAATCCCGTTCTGTCATCAAGCATGCTAATCCTAGCTGTCAAGGACCACTGTATTTCTGACTATCAATCAGTTCTTTTTGTATTATTGTGTATAGATACTTACATATTAGGAATCTTGATTATGGAAGTGCAGTTTCGATGCTTTTTGAGATGGGTGCAGCACAATGAAACCCCCAGTTGCAATTTTTCATTTCAAAACTTTGATTATTATTTTACGATATTTGTCAAAGGCATGTGTCTTGAAACATAGGCAGTAGGAAGTATTTTGCTATATCAAAATCCCTGTAGAGCATGGCCTAACAGGCCTTTTTGTAAGAAATAGCCCACAATAGTGGCCCACATGCGAAAGATCCTTCCAAGTAATTCTAACCAATGCTTCTGCCTGTAACATTTCTGAAAAAAGCATAAAATCTTGTTGGTACTTACAATGCCTGCCAAAAGTGCTTGGAACACCCAGCAATTTACCTTGCATTTGATATCTTTCATTCCTTTCATGAAGAAAAAAATACTACTTTTGCCTCCTTTTCCCTAAAACAATGTTGATAATTTAAAGAAGTATCATAAAAGAAGCGCAAAAGAAAATGCTTCCCAAAATCCCCACCCGTTTGATGGTAAACCAACATTGTTCTGTAGAGGAGAGGGGGATGATTGATTTTGACCTTGGAAATTATTGTCAGTGTTCCAAGACTTTTGGCAGCATTGTAGATGTAAGTTCCAAGAAACATAGCCAGTTCTACAAGGCAGTAGGCAGTGTATTGCTTTATCAAAATAGCTGTAGAGCATGGCCTAAGTGTGAAGCCTGGAAAGCATGAAAGACTTATCACAACAAAGTTTTAGTCTGGAATGACAGCTTCTGATCAAAATTGTGTGCATTAACTTCTGTTTTGTGTGACAAATCTGTACTTAGAAACAAGTGACCAGAAAAAAATGGCCAATAAAGTGAAGTTCAGAATATTTTCTTTCCTAAATTTCTGATCTGATGCCTTAAAGTTTAATTTAAAATCTGTTAGACAGCCCTCTCAGCAGTGAGAAAGCCAGCCTACTTAACAGAATTTTTATATACCTTATCAATTATAACTGTAATTATAAAATAATTAAAATATCCTGGTATTAAAGTTGAAGTTTGAAAGAACTGTATAACCCGACGTTTCTTGGTATTGATTATTTTCCACAGATATCAAGTCTTGCTGTAACATCTACCTAAAAAGCTAGTGAGTTTTATTTCAAGATTTAACCAATGTGTCAAAAAATATTCCTAATTTTGAGCAAATTGTTGGCAGAGACCTTACCATGGGGGAAGTACTTTTTAAATTTTGTAGGTAAAATTTATAGCCCAGGGAAAGTGACATGATTTTTTGCCACAACATAACATACTCATACCTTATTAGTTATAGGCAATTTACATCCCAACAGTGTCAAGACAGCATCAATTCTCTCAAAACAGCTGTTAGGCTAAATCTAGAAATCTCAAGGACACATACAGTTTGAACAGCAGAAGTTGTGATAAATATTGTGTTTGGAATATTTAATGGTTTTCTAAAAATGCAAACTAAATAGCTGACACAGAGGCATAATCAAAAGGAGTGCTGAGTTGAGGGGTGGGGGTGTCTAGGGCAGGGGGAGTGTCTAGGGCAGGGGGAGTGTCTAGATTCTTAATTTATAATCTATTGCTCCAGTATTTTAAACTTCTATGAACAGCAAAGATGTCTGCATAGTGATAAACAATTCATTTATCTGAAAATGCCTCCCTTCTTTAACAATTTTCTTTGGCTTTTCTATTGCTGGGCTTCAACTGATTGTTTCTGGATTTAAAACCTCATCTTGTCAGAACCATATATGCATACATTACACCCTACACTTGACATGGCAGAGCTAGAAAATTTCATTTCAAGCATTTTACAATTGTTTTTATATTTTCATTAACCAAAAAAACAATTTATTTTTTCTATTGATAGGCTAATTTTCATTTTAAACATGACAACTGTAAGAAAGTATGATATAAATAGGTTGTTGTCATATCAAGAGTTTTGCATTATTTTAAATTTAATTTTGTTCAGACTAAATTTGATGAAATTTGGTATCCAATACTTTCCATATGATTATGGTGTTTCCAATATGTCTACATGCCATAGAATAATATCTTATCAAGTTAATGACGAGGAGTTTTTGATGCGCTGAAATGTTCACTTGAACGTTGTCGCATGAATATGCTTAGCATCTCTGACTATTGCTTAAAAATACAATTGCAAGGAAGAAATTAATTTGTTGAAGTTTTAAAATTTTGCGTCGTTGCACGACTATAACAAGGGCACATACAAGTAGCAGCTGTTCTAAGATGAGCATATTTGCTAATTAAATCTTTAGTGATTCAATAGCTTTTCATTTATAATTTATATCGTTTCCTTTGGTTCAAGCTTACATACCAGAGTAACCAGTAGAATTTTGTGCGGATGTTTTTGTTGAAAACAAGCTGAGATCTACTGTCGGAGGCATTGTTGCTTAGAAATCGCTTTGAATTCGTAGGTGAGCTTTTCGCTCGACAGGTGCAGCTATAAGCTTGAAGAAATAACTGCTTGGCATTGCTTATCCCTTTAACATGAAATTTTCTTTAAATCATTGCTTAGTAGGAGCACAAACATGTTAGTTGAACTGGTAAGGCCCCCAGAAAGTGTAAATTAGGGAGAGGTATAAAGGGTCTTTGGATAGGACCGCTATTATTTATGGAGTGCGCCCTTTAGTTTGCTTTAGATGGTATGGCCGAAATGCATGCTTGGCATTATTGGTGAACAATCTTTCATAAAATTTCAGTAGTTACTCTAAATACCAGCACCCGTGGAGGACATTTTCTGAAGAATTTTGAGAGAATTGGAGGGGATTTTCCTTGGGGCCTTCGGATGTGTTTAAATTCGATGATAAATAAATGTGAAGTCTCAATGATATCTTGAAAAGGTTGGTAGAAATGGCAGCGCTCAAACCCAGAGTATCACTTCGCAATGAAGTTGTAGGCTCATCTGTTAGCGTTCTTTGCTGCAAGTTCTGTGCAACTAAAAATCTAGTCTTTGAAATCAACTCTTTAAAGTCAATTTAATTTTTTAATATTTAATATTTTTAGCGAAATATGTGAAATTTATAAATCGGATGGATGTAGTATTGGATGAAGCATCCTGTGTGACCCATCTCTGGCCAGGTTGGGGGGGGGGGTAGGCCCATCAATTTATCAAAAATGTTAAATGATATTTTTGGCCTAGACAGCACAGTATATGATATTATTGCATCCACTTAATACATTATTTTCTTTTTCTAGGTATCAGCTATGAAATGTGGCCTTCTTCGTATTTCACAAGAATCTGCTATTGTGAGTGCAATTCATTAATCCTCTCGAATTTTTTTCTCTATATGTTTACATCTCGTTAATTTTGCAAAACATTTTCCATTCGAATACATATGATTTAAGCCGCCCTGTATAGAATGTTTGTGAAGATTTTCGCTCACGAATTGTACGTAATCCTCACATCATTTGCATATTTTATGTATTAAACGTCAACCAGAAGCCATTTTAATGGGATGCAACACGTACAGTGCCGCCATTTGTGATGGATTAGCACGTTGGGTGTTTGTAGCTGGTTGTGACTTGTGCCTGCTTAAATATAGGATTCTTTGTTCATGATAATTCCCGCAAATCTCAGGAAAATAGCATTTGTTCAAGACATTACAATTCGGAAGAGGATTTGCATTCCACAATATTTTTAACACATAGAAATATCAAATTATATTTTGTGTACCCTTATTTCTGTGAAGGAGTGGCGCTCGTTATTTCAAAATAAATTCGACTTGCTTGCTACAAAATTATAAATTGCGGAATGGGCTGAGCCTTGCACTTTTCCATAGCATGAAATATTGAACAGTGATGCTCAACCGATTTACTTACATTGTTCAGGGCAATGATATTGGTGAACCAAAATCAGTCCATTCCGCAAATTAACACATCAACGGTTTTGGAAGAAAATTTAGATACTTTGTTATTGCTATGATGTCAATCAGTTTTACTGACCAGTCTTTTAAATCGCTCAGGCTTATGAAACCCATTGTGAGAATGATATGTTGACAATTTCAAAAGCTTTTTTCTTAAATATTTGCCAACGCGTTAGTCTTGCATGTAAATATGTACTTTGATACAATTGATGTCTTTAGATCCTAAGTTTCTATGAAACCAGATCAATCCTCATGATCTCTCGATTTAAAAAGCTTTTTGTTATGTTACAATGAAAACAGTTCTTTGGTATTAATCCTAGACAATAGTTGTATGACCTCATCATGTTTCTTTCTTGGTCCTGTGAAGATTTTGACATCACTTAAACATTTCGCATCCTCACCCAATCCTCCATTATTACAGCAAAAAATGCTAAAAAAGAGTTAATGTCCGTTGAAAGGGAGTGTCCGTTATTCAGAAATGTTCGAAATGATCAAGGCATCTTTTATGAACTACATATTAAAATACAAAACAAATCCAATTATAAGCTAAATATTAAAACTGCAAGACAAATGTATAGTGCTGTCTTCAGTCAAAAGAAATTTTGGCCCATATATGTCAAACTGTTCAGTCTAGGTCCGTTTACTGTCATACTCCGCTTACTGTTCGGTCTTTTCAACCAACATTTGAAGTGGCTATAACCGGAATCAACTGTACAATCAGCCAATAAGTTTCGAAAATAACATGGCCAAGAATAGATGAAAGACAAATGTTGCTGGGGGTGGTATCATATCCATAGGGTAACGTGCAATCACACTCCTCTTTTAATCGTGCTACTATTGTTATTCGAATTCCGAACCGCTTCGCATTTCCATGACATTGACATTCAGTGACATTGTGGCTTCAGTTATCATTCTATGACGATATTCAGGTCAGCATTTCCAAACAACCCGTACTCGCACAAGGTATTTGAATTCATGCCTGTAACATCTTGATCGGGGCATCTGCAGCTTGACGCAATGGATCCAGGCGTTCCAAACCAAATTAGGGAGAGTTCCCGAGAAAGTGCTAATTGTCCTCTTCTCCCACGCCCGGATAACAATCACACGCAGCCATGATTTCTCTGAAAGAATAGTCTATGTTTTGCACAGTCTGGGCCATCGAATCTCTAAAGTGGGTCTGTTCAATAATTTAAACAGATAGGACCTTAAAGGGCACTTTCACACACCAGATCACATTTTGACCTTGGGAGAAATGTTCCGAATCGTGCCCAAAAAATTTACACAATGTGTTCAGGATTGGCTTTATTCTTTTAATAAGTGTATCAAAAATTTTTTTCAGATGTAGCAAAATAGGCAGCTTGTTTCTAAGGTCTGTCTGAAAAATAGGTCGTTTTCATTGTCGTGAACTGAAAGTTATGTTGGGGCTCGTTGGACCCGTCGGTCTCCCATTTCACATAAACAATAGGAGCTAAAACGATCAAAATGACGTTAGGGAGTTAAGAGGTTATTTTTGGGTGTCTTGTTCGAAATTGTTCACTTCACGATACTAGTTCGCTGCTATTCACGACACATGCCCTTTAATGCTCTGCTTGTAAGGCAAGATACTAAGATTGCTTAGTGACTGATCTTGCCTTTACTGTATATGTAGGTAGAAATATTGTAGGAAAAGGCAAGTACCAAGGCAACAACATGCTTTATAAGGTATTTTGTTTTTTATTCAATAGGTTGGTCATGTGTCATATCACAATTTTAATGGAATTCTGGTTGACGAAGCTGAAAAAGAATCAATTGTTCACGACCTTGGAGACACCAACAAGGTTAGCTTTTTGTTGTCAGTGCTAATTTTTTTATTACCACGCCATTAGTAAGAAATTTTATTCCGGGCGGGGGGATACTAGAATGTTTGTTATCTGCTTTTCTTTCCAAAGCACTCATTTCATGGTTATTAGCGGGGGAGGGGCTTCAACCTGAGGCCCCCTTCCATTTCTGATGACCAAGGAATAAGTTTTAGAAGTAGTGGCCAGTATTGATATCTTGGACTTCACTTTGAATATACTTGTAAAGAACCCGAAACTGTTTTACATATTATCACTTTTGTAACCGGAATGACTTCTCATAGACAAGCAGTGCAATGGTCGATAAATTGCCTGTACCTTAAATTCTCGAATTAGCCTCGTGGGGTCTTAATTATCTTTAATATTTTTGGATGGAGGGTTATACGAAGGAGGGGCTTATAAAATTATAGTAGATAATAAGACATTAAAAAAAGACCTCGTATATTTTAGTAGGAATTTCTTTATGAACATTTGATTAATTATTACCAAAAGTATGAGTTTTTGTGGTAATTCAACAAAACGCCAAAGGCAACCTCAAAAGGAAAGAATCAACAAATCGAGAGGGCCATATCGAGGATTTGGGGTAAAAGTGGGGCTTATTGACAATTTGTAGTGTTAGGGTGGGGCTTATTTGAGGGGGGGGGGCTTTTTCGAAGTAGGCCAATTTGAGGATAAACGGTACTCTTAAAGCAGTGATACACTAAACATTTTTTAGCCTGGGGGCTCATTTGAGGGGGGGGGGGGGCTTTTTCGAAGTAGGCCAATTTGAGGATTTACGGTACTCTTGAAGCAGTGATACACTAAACATTTTTTAGCCTGGGGGCTTATTTTAGGGGGGGGGGCTTTTTCGAAGTAGGCCAATTTGAGGATTTACGGTACTCTTGAAGCAGTGATACACAACACAGTTTTGAGCCTTTTAGACACTTGGGTTTATCAGTATCCCGCATTCTTCAATATTTTCTCAAGAAATAATTATCAATACCTTGGTTTTGCAAAAAGAGTCATGGAACTTTACATTCAAGGTTTATTACGATAGGATTTTGCAGATAGTGATATTTATCAAAACTTAGAAGCCGATCAACACGGCAGGCAACTGTAACAGGAGAAGTTCGGACGGGGTTAACTGCACATAATTTACATTAATGACGACCCAGCTGTCACAACAAAACTTGAATGGTTTTGCTCTTTCTTCTTGATCTCTCAGATTATTCAATAATTTACTCAAGTGACTTTTTATATTGTAATCTCTTGTTTCAGCGCGGTACTTAAACGGTACATAGGTCTTGGCCTAGCTATTCATAGTCCTGTCACACCATTGTTACCTTGCTAATCTTTGTTGATGCGCCACTTAATGAATACTGTTAAACCCCGCATATCGATTAAAGTTTGCCTTAAGTAAATCAGTATTCCATTGAAATGTTTATTACGGTAATGATTTCATCGCGTCGGCAGATAGGGTTGAATAAAACATAGTAGTTTTACTCCTGTGCAAAGAATTTTCTAAATTCTGCCTGGGTATTTGATTGTGCCCCCTCCACCCTCTCCCAGTCACACTGGTAGTGCAATTTGAATTAGGTTTCAATTAAAAATTTCTGATTTCTGTCTTTTGAAAGTTATCATTTCTCTTTGTCTGCTTCTACGCAACTCTACGCAACGTAAGCTCTACGCAACTCGAATCTTCTTGCAATCTTTATCACAATGCCTTCACTAAGACCTTCCATTTGTCTCAAAGCCACGTGATCAACAATCAAATCCCGCCACATTCCCACACCTTCCCCTTTACACTTCAAAAAACTCATTTGCCTGTTTCTTTTTAAATAGTTTTGTATGTTCATGATGAATCTTTCCACCCATACTTTAATATTTAAAATAGTTCATTTTTACTCTTACAGGTGATGATTCTTAGAAACCATGGAGTTGTCTGCCTGGGTGAAACGATTGAGGAGGCATTCTCGCTGCTTTACCACGTCATAAAAGCTTGCGAAATTCAGGTACCTACTGAAGTTCTGTTTTTATTATGCTAGATAACATAATTTGAATCAGATCAATAGTTTATATGCCAGACATCATTGTAGTAAACCGCGGTACGCACATTTCTTGTAGGATTTATCACTAAAGCTCAACACTGAAAACGAAAGGACAAAGTCAAGCACTTCTTCTTCGTCTTTCTTTGAAATGAAACAAGGAAAAAGTAAAGAGAGAACCATAACGTTTTCAGAAGACGATACTCTCGTGTACCAACGGGGGGTGAGAGTAGGGGGGGGGGGGTTCTGAAATGGTCCATTATGATAGTAGGGGATTTAAAACAGTAAGGGGAGGGGTTGTAAATGGTTATATTTGTTGTGAAAAAAGACAATGCAATGTTCAGTGGATTTTGTCACACGGCTGAGACAATGCAAAGGAGAATTATGCTAATAATTTTATATAAGTACGTTGGTATAAAAGGTATTATTTGGTATTAAAGGGATTATTCGAAATGTATCTTGACAATCATCTCAATTTTTCAAAATTCAATAAAAGGAGGTTGAAATAAAAGTGGGAGGTTGGAAGATTTTCGAAGATTTATAAGCAGGGGGGGGGTTGGGGTGGCATTATTCGGTACTCGAGAAAAAGTATTGTTTCCACTGTTTATTCATGTAATAAATCAGCACTTTGTCATTCTCAATCTAAATTTTTAGTGCAAGAAAACTAGTCAGATTCTGAGGTTCAGAATATGTATGCTCTTTTCTCTCTATGCCCCTGCATACTTCACTATAGCTGCTTTCACACCTTCTGAGTGCTTTCCATCGTGTTTGGAATTTTACAAAACTCAAACTTGGTACAAATTTCATTTGTCACTTTCCTTGGCAGTCTCCGATCCAATACTAGTAATTCCTGAAGTTTTTGCCGATCCGAGTATCAAAATATCATATACCGTAAAAGCGACATAATCAGGGTCAAATTTGTCCAATCTGGCCATTTTTCAAAGTAGCTGGCCAAATTTTGGCCGCATGTTCAGAGCCACAAAAATACTAAAACAACGACAATTTTTACACATAAAATATTCAACATTTTGGTTAAGATTATCTCAAAAATGCAAATAACAAAGCACGAAACATAAGTAAAAGATATCAGAAATTGAAGTTGAAATTGAAAGCAAGTGGGAGCTTTTGTGGGAACTTTTGTGGGAGCTTTGGTAGGAGCTTTGGTAGCAAACAAAGCCAATTTTGATTAAACTATTACTCCAAAGAATTAGCCAAAATGTAGCTTTTTGTATATTTTGCCTGGCTGGCCGAATTTTTCTGTCAAGCGTGAAATGTTTGGCCGCCAACCATTCTAAGCATCTGGCAACCCTGAACATAATCCATTTTAACAAATGTTTCATTTCCCTGAAACAGGGCTTTTAGTTTACAGTAAATAGAAAGTTATTCACTTCAAAAATGAAAAAAACGGCCACCTTTAATTAACGTTCTCTTAAACTTTTTTATTAATCACAGGTTCGAGCGATTCCTGTTGGTTTGGACAACCTGCACATTTATGACGAAGAGATAGTCGATCAAGTTCAGAAGACAATAGATACAAATGCAAACTATCAGGATAAAAGTGTTAAATGGCGCAAGGGGGAGATGGAATTTGAGGCATTGATGAGGAAGCTCGATTCTCTGGTTGGTTCATTTTAATTATACACCTTTGCCAAAAACCCTGATATCTAAAAGTATCGATGACTAAAAGGTACCGTAAATCCTCGAATTAGCCCCCTGGGGGCTTATTTATTTTTGATATTTTTGGATGGGGGCTTATTCGAGGGGGTGGTATATACGAGGGGGGCTTATAGAATCATTGTCGACATTAAGACGACATTATTGAAAGACCTCGTTTATTTTAGTAGAAATTTCTTTATGAGCATTTAATTAATTACTACCAAAAGTATGAATTTGTTGTGGTAATGCAATAAAACGCCATAGGCAACCTCAGATGGCAAAAATCATCAAATTGAGGGGTCCATTTTGAGAATTAACGGTAGCAGTGGGGGCCTATTCGAGAGGGGAATTATTCACAATTTGTAGTTATAGGGTAGTGCTTATTCGAGGGGGGGCTTTTTCGAAGGGGGAGGGGGCAATTCAAGGATTTACGGTATCTAGAGAATTTGGAAAAGAGGAGTACAAACCGTATTTTCATACATGGTAGAAAAAAGTTTTAAGTTAAGCTTGCCCTTGGGCCAACTATTAAAAATGTTACTAAAGAAGTATGAAAATTGTTTTTTACGCCAATATTTGTACTTGTTTTCTTTGTTTACTAGAACTAAACTGTGGAAGCAGTTTTTGTCCTTGAGGTTATATACGGAAACTTTTGCGATTGTTTTTTGTAAAATTGACCATTTATCCCGTTTCTATGAGTTCAGAACAGTGACCATCCTTATCATTTAACAAAACTTTATTTACTCGAGGCTTAAGATATTTTTGTCAAAATTTGATGAGAAACAATTCCTTACATGCATTATTAAAAAAATCATTATTCTGTTCATGTTTAACTTGAAGATTTTCTTTTGTAGGGATATAACACTGGATATCCTTATAGAATGCCTGATGCATTTTTACCGGTTAAACGCGAGAAAATACCGGAATCCCGAGATGTACCTATCTTTCCATCGTTTAATTTGAAAAAAGGTGGTTTAGGCAATTATCCGGATATGGGTGGACCACTGAGGCCCAGTCCTAGTCGTGGCACGTCTTACAAGAATAAGTTAAAATGGCTCAACAGTCCTGTTCTTGGAACACAATACAAGAAAGAGCCTATGGTGAGTACTCTTCGCAGCATTTATAACCTATCCAATGTTCTCCTGCACAGCATCGAATATTCCATGCGAGAGAACTGTTCTAATGCGTAGTTATGGGCGCAGCGAATTAAATTCAATGAGATGCGCTCAAAATGCGCCCGTAGAGCGCTTCAATTTATTGTTTGCTTTTAGACAGCGAAGCGAATTGAATTTATTCATATTTTGATTCATAACGCGCTGATAATGCGCGCAAGTGAGCGCATTATGAGCGAATTCAATTATTTGCTTCGCTCTCGGATTTAGTCAGCGAATTAAGAGCGCATTAAATTGACACTCACAATATTTTATGGTCAATAATTTAATTCGCTGCGCCCATAAAGCGCTGTCTAAACTAGGCCTAACAGAACAGTTAATTACCTGATGATCGCATTAAGCATGAAACTCGGTAGCCACTGAGAACCATCCTGTACTATACACCAAATAGCGTATGTTCTTACCTCAATGGGCGACTAAAATTTCAATAAACTACTGGAATCATATGAAAATGGGTGGATTTCTTTAGGTACTACAGAGTCCCTAAAAGTCACTTCATAGACGTGTCTCTTCAATTGCTACAGTCGCCAACTTTCTGCTTATACAGCCAACTGTCTTCAGATTATTAGAATTGGACTTTCACGTTGAAGGTTTTTTCTTTTGTCTTCAATTCTGTTACATTCCCTGTTGAAAAAATTACAATAACACGACAATTTAGTTACAGGAAGGCGCAAAGAATTCCTCAAGAAAATTTAAATTTGTTCTTTTGCCTGGGATCATATTAATCCCCACTCCCCATTCTTGGCTGCACTGCTGTTTTAGTCAACTTCCAGTAACTTTTGAAACACTTGGTATTTTTATCAATATTTTTACAATGTGGGAAGGTCGATAGTTTCTAGTATGGAAGATAATTGCAAAAAATATGCTAGCTATCCGTGGGTAGATTGCTTAAAATCAAATTTTGTAACGATAAACGGTCATCCAGTTTTAGAATCATGCATCTTTTTTTCTATTGCGTATACCATTTATATTGAGTGTAATTTAAATGCTCGACATTTTTTAGGTAAAAACGGAGGAAAGTCACAATCAGCTACATACAGTCAGGAAGGAGATCACCCGAAGCGGGTCAGAAAACAATGTTGACATGAGAGAGACAGAAGTTACCGAGGTAACAGAAACTGTCGAGGGTGGAACCATCACGACGGTCAAGAGGAAAGTGGTGACGGTTATTCAAGGTAAAGAGCAGGTGATCGAGGATAGCCAAATTCTGGTGGATGGCAATGACACGGCATTCTCTAGTGTTATTGATAGCGGATTCGTTGTTGTTGATAAGGAGGATGGTCATGCAGAACAAAAGGAAATTTCTATTAATATTGAGGAAAATGGTGAGTTATTTCTCTTTTGATACGATTCATTATTCCCCAGGCTATCCAGGGAAAGAAATGTGATAAAAAAGATTGTAGACCTACATTTTCATCTTCGATTACCTTGAGATCCTCTCCAAGAAACCCGTCTTCCATTCTACCCTTTCTTCACAGGGGTCTTACAATGGACATTATAATAAAAGTAACTATAAAAACACTACAGTACCTTCTTTCGGTTTTAACCTGGAACTGTTTCGTATTTCAATGCAGTCGTATATTCTAGTTGATTACGAACTGGTCAAATGAATTTACGAAACCCGACCTACCAAAACCTTCTAACCAACTTGTAATTATATGTAGCTATTTTCAAGAAGCAGTTCTGCTCTCGCCATCCAAAGCAGAACTGGCTGGAGGTTCAAGCAGGAAGTGGGAAAGTTTTCATTAATTACTGTATATTCAATTTCAGCCTGTACGTTTTTTCTCCATCTTTTTTGTTGGAGAAGCCGTCTCTCTCTGAGGCTGCCAGTTTTCCTCCCTTTTTGTCGCCTACGGCCATATCACCATGAATGCACCAATTCTCGTCAGATAACCGAAGTTAAGCATAGTAGAGGCAGGTCAGTACCTGGATGGGTGACCCCGCCTGGGAACACCTGGTGTTGTAGGCTTCATCAAATTCGCTATTTTCAAATTCGCCTTAAAGTGTCCAAAATTCGTCGTTTATCCGCCTACTGTTGTTTTTTCTTCTAGTTAGTTGCTTTTCTTTCTATGTCCTTCACCTGCCGACCTACGATTACTTTCACCGATTACATTCCTTTTGCAACTCACTCATTCACCATAAACGAATAGTACTACTTGTTTACGTTGGGTGTCAAAGCCATTCTCTACGTTTCTCTGAAGAGTGTCAGACGAAAAGCTTAAGTATGACTCAAAATGTTTGCTTTTTTTTCAAAGCCACTGTTCACTTTGGCTAAACAGATAGGAGGAAATTCGCAATTCGTCAATGTTTACCTTATTTCGATAGGTACCTTCTATATTTATATAGCCGCTCAAAACACGAACTCGACTTAAACGACTATTGAATAGAAGTTTTTGTGTGATCTAGCATAAGCATTTGATACAATAGACAAGTATCGGCGTTTGTACAAACTACAACATATTATGGCTTCAAAGGAAAGATTCGCGGAAGGCTTAGTTGCTACCTTTCTGCAAGGATCTGTTCTTGGTCCATTAGTTCTCTACAAGAAATAACCGACTTTAAACGGCAACTTTTATCTTTACAATTTATAGGCGATGTACCAAATTGTATTGTTTGATATATGTAATTTACTATTCTACCATTTAATTAATGGGTTGATACCTATTGTGATACGATTTATTGTTTCGAGGCATCAGCATCAACAGGTAAAAACACCGCCTGCTCGCCCTAAAAGTGCCAGGGAAACCTCACTATCTATAAACAAAATTGACAATCACATGATCTGGTAAAACAAGAGTAAAGCCAGATTTATGTTTCACCGATGTGTTTATGCAGAATATCACGCTGAAACCTGATGAATGATTTTTCCCTAGATTGTCAAAAACTGGGTTAATCCTTTCATCATGTAAAAAAGTAACATAGATTAGCCAAATAAACTTACTTGAGGGAAACCACAAAGCTGCATTTAAGGCACCGCGTTCAGTGTTAGTAAGAACATAAAAGCATTTGATACTGTTAAATCTGCAGTGAAACACGAACCTGTACCAACTGAAGTAGCCAAAAACCACGATGAGTTGTTGAGAGCTCCGGGCAGCCCTGCAAGCCAACATAGCTCACAGAGATCTGATGATGAAGGAGGCGATGACGATCATGATCGAAAGAAAGTGAAAAAGCAGAGAAGTTTCAAGAAAATGTTCCAAAAGAAACCTCACAAAAAGAAATGATCTGGTGCAGTGAAAAGTAATTACAAAAAGAGCCTACTGAATTTAGTTTTTGAAACGGTGACTTTATCTTAGTCATCAATCTGGTGGCTAGATTTTCTCTTCTACTTACTTCAGCTAGTATACACAAATATATCGCAAAGCTAGAGGACTGACCAGAAATCTGTTCGTGTGAAAACTGGTTATATATATACTACAAAGAGTTATCGTAAATAGATATCCAAATTATTTTGTGGTCTCCAACCGAACGACCCTGCATGTTCATTTTCCGTTGATTGCACAAGAGATAAGGTTACTAATGTAATCGTTATTTGCACATGTTGATGTGATATTTGGTTGCGTCATGGACTGGAGTGGACTGTTATTTTAAAGAAAGTGGCATTAATGCTTTTCCTATAAATGACTTAGTTATATGTGGCAGTTTATGGGCTAAGATGAAGAACTGTACGTCTGCAACATGCATCTTAATGATCTAAAAAATGCTTCTTGCTGAAGTATAATTATTCCGTTCCACGCTTTCGCGCCAGTTTTTCAAGCTTTCTATCATCTTTACCGAATTAAAACCGAGGCACCGACGAGAACGAGACTGTAGCCTTCTTCAACATCTTCACGACCATTTTTAGTTTAAATTATGGTTTTGTTGCATCGTCACTACAAGAGTGAAAGTTTTATAAATAAATTTTTGACTTATCTGTTATTTTGACTATGAAAGATTTCCTTTGTCTTATGATCACAGCGAATGTATTTTAAAATATTTTGATGGTTTTGAGCCAATCATCAAATGTGTCTTTTAAATTTTTGACCCTTGTTTGCTTTCTGTTGTGATATATTAGTGAAAGAATAAACACGTTGCTGCTGAAATTTAAGATTTTTATCCTCTGTCCTGTAGCCATTTTTTGTCAAAGGACCTTTCCTTTCAAACTTGCGAACAAAGGTATACTTCATCTCCAAAATATTTAGAATTTGAGAGAAGAATTCAGTAAAGAAGACGTGTGATTCTATTATTTTGTTTTTTTTGAATAAAATTTCAAGTTCAGGAAGACAAGAAAGAACAGTTTTTAGTTTCCCTACCTTGAGTCAGTATGTCCCCTGAATGACACCAAACTCTAGATCTCGGGTTAGTCGCTTGGATTGCCTAGAGGTGCGGTTTTATAGCAGCTATTTACATCTGCAGCGAGTTTTACTCTGGCTGTATGTGGATATGAAGTGAAATCTACGGAAATATTTATTGCTGTATGCATTGAAAGAAGGAAAAATAGTCTATGTCAATGTTGTGATATACCTGTACCCGTCTTTAGAGCCTCTTTCCCTTTCCACCAAATGAGGCTGTAACTCTGGTTCGCTTTGTTGTACCTTTGTGCTGATTCTAAACGACGCATTTTTACATTTTCCAATTATACGCTTTTAATCTTGACTATGACAAACGTTCTCTGATAGAGTGAGGACTTATGTGCGAAAATGCATTCACAGTAAATTTGCACAGTTTACTAGACCCTAAACAATATTTACTGTTTAGATATAATTTTGATGTATTTAATTGTTTTGGTAGTAGAACTATATTTTAGTGGTAGTATTAATTATGTTGGTTGTACATTTACTTTTTCTAATGCCTTAAAACGGCTACATCATTCGGAGGAACGTCAAATTTTTTGGTTAATTTTTCTCTCTACCTTTATATACGGTATTTTAAAAGACGAATCGCAGTAAATGTTCGTACATTGTCTTGTGGAAAGAACCATCGTGAAAAGAGAGTAAAAATGTCAACCTAACTTCAGTTATAATTTTCACAATATCTCCCTGCTAAGGGTGGCCAGTTAAGGGTGTGTATTTGTCAAGATTAAAACATTTTAGACATAAAGATTTTACCTGCGCCGCTTTGCATCAACATCAAGCATGAATTTCTCTACACAATCCAACATACACCGATTATGCATGGCAGTGGGCAGCATAGGGTGAAAGGGTATTTATTGGTCAAAATTGGAACTTTTTAGGGCTGCAGATTTTTCGAAAAAAGCAAGGCTATAACCTTAAAAAATGTCAAATTCTCAGGTTGAAAATATTGCATGAAATTAAGCAGTATCGTTTTAAATGATCCAGAAACAACTATTTATTCATAGAAGGGGGCAGGCAAGGCTATTTATTTGTAAAAAAATGAAACTTTTTAAGGCCGAAGATTTTTTGAAAAAAGCAAGGCTATAACCTTACAAAAATGTCAAATTCTCAGGTTGAAATTATTCCATGAAATTAAGCAGAATGGTTTGAAATGATCCAGAAACAACTATATATGAATAGAAGGGGGCAGGCAGGGCTATTTATTTGTAAAGAAAATGGAACTTTTTAGGGCCGAAGATTTTTCGAAAAAAGCAAGGCTATAACATTACAAAAATGTCACATTCTCTGGTTGAAATTATTGCATGAAATTAAGCAGAATGGTTTAAAATGATCCAGAAACAACTATAAATGCATAGAAGGGGGCAGGCAAGGCCATTTATTTGTAAAAAAATGGAACTTTAGGGCCGAAGATTTTTCGAAAAAAGCAAGGCTATAACCTTACAAAAATGTCAAATTCTCAGGTTGAAATTATTGCATGAAATTAAGCAGAATGGTTTGAAATGATCCAGAAACAACTATATATGCATAGAAGGGGGCAGGCAAGGCTATTTATTTGTAAAAAAAATGGAACTTTTCAGGCCCGAAGATTTTTCGAAAAAACCAAGGCTATAACCTTACAAAAATGTCAAATTCTCAGGTTGAAATTATTGCATGAAATTAAGCAGAATGGTTTTAAATGATCCAGAAAAAACTATATATGCATAGAAGGGGGCAGGCAAGGCTATTTATTTGTAAAAAAATGGAACTTTTTAAGCCCGAAGATTTTTCGAAAAAAGCAAGGCTATAACCTTACAAAAATGTCAAATTCTCTGGTTGAAATTATTGCATGAAATTAAGCAGAATGGTTTAAAATGATCCAGAAACAACTATATATGCATAGAAGGGGGCAGGCAAGGCTATTTATTTGTAAAAAAATGGAACTTTTAGGGCCGAAGATTTTTCGAAAAAAGCAAGGCTATAACCTTACAAAAATGTCACATTCTCTGGTTGAAATTATTGCATGAAATTAAGCAGAATGGTTTAAAATGATCCAGAAACAACTATATATGCATAGAAGGGGGCAGGCAAGGCTATTTATTTGTAAAAAAATGGAACTTTTAGGGCCGAAGATTTTTCCAAAAAAGCAAGGCTATAACCTTACAAAAATGTCAAATTCTCTGGTTGAAATTATTCCATGAAATTAAGCAGAATGGTTTGAAATGATCCAGAAAAAACTATATATGCATAGAAGGGGGCAGGCAAGGCTATTTATTTGTAAAGGAAATGGAACTTTTTAGGGCCGAAGATTTTTCGAAAAAAGCAAGGCTATAACATTACAAAAATGTCACATTCTCTGGTTGAAATTATTGCATGAAACTAAGCAGAATGGTTTAAAATGATCCAGAAACAACTATATATGCATAGAAGGGGGCAGGCAAGGCTATTTATTTGTAAAAAAATGGAACTTTTCAGGCCCGAAGATTTTTCGAAAAAAGCAAGGCTATAACCTTACAAAAATGTCAAATTCTCAGGTTGAAATTATTGCATGAAATTAAGCAGAATGATTTTAAATGATCCAGAAACAACTATATATGCATAGAAGGGGGCAGCCAAGGCTATTTATTTTTAAAAAAATGGAACTTTTTAGGGCCGAAGATTTTTTGAAAAAAGCAAGGCTATAACCTTACAAAAATGTCAAATTCTCTGGTTGAAATTATTGCATGAAATTAAGCAGAATGGTTTAAAATGATCCAGAAACAACTATATATGCATAGAAGGGGGCAGGCAAGGCTATTTATTTGTAAAAAAATGGAACTTTTTAGGGCCGAAGATTTTTCGAAAAAAGCAAGGCTATAACCTTACAAAAATGTCAAATTCTCTGGTTGAAATTATTGCATGAAATTAAGCAGAATGGTTTAAAATGATCCAGAAACAACTATATATGCATAGAAGGGGGCAGGCAAGGCTATTTATTTGTAAAAAAATGGAACTTTTTAGGGCCGAAGATTTTTCGAAAAAAGCAAGGCTATAACCTTACAAAAATGTCAAATTCTCCGGTTGAAATTATTGCATGAAATTAAGCAGAATGTTTTAAATGGTCCAGAAACAACTATATATGCATAGAAGGGGGCAGGCAAGGCTATTTATTTTTAAAAAAATGGAA